TTCCTTTGGCAAGGATTTAGTTGAGGATTTTTGCATCAGTGTTAGGGAAATTGGCCTGTAATTTTCTTTTTTGTGTTGTCTTTGTTTGGTTTTGGGATAAGTGTAATGCTGGCTTTGTAGAATGTATACGGTAGTATTCCTCCTTTTTCAATTTTTTGAAAGAGTTTGTGTAGGATGGGCACTAATTCACTGCTGAACATTTGGTGAAATACATTTGTGAGAAGCTGTCTGGGCCTGGGTTTTTGTTTTTGGGGAGTGTTTTGATTACTGCTTCAATTTCACTGCTTGTAATTGATCTGTTTAGGCGTTGTATTTCTTCTTTGTCAAGCTTTGGATGATTGTATCATTATAGGAAATTGTCCATCTCCCTAGATTGTTGAATTTGTTTGCATATAAGTGTGCATAGTAATCTCTGATTATTCTTTTGATTTATACTGAGTCTGTTGTGATTTCTCTTTCATTTATAATCCTATTTATGTGTGTTTTCTTTGTGAGCACAGCTAGAGTTCTGTTTGTTTTATTTTTTCAAAAAACCAACTTTTGGTTTCATTGATCTTTTGGATTGATTTTTTAATTTCATTTATTTCTGCTTTGATTTTTATTTTTTCCTTCTACTGGTTTTAGGGGGTTTTTGTTGTTATTTTTCTAGCTCTTTGAGATGTGAGATTAGGTTGTTTGAGTTCTTTCTTGTTTCTTGATATGAGCCTGTATTGATATATATTTTTTTCTTATTACTCTTTTGCTGCATCCCATGCATTCTGGGAATTGGTGTCCTTGTCATTCAACTCAGTATTTTTTAATTTCTTCTTTGATTTCCTCATTAGTCCAATGGTCTTTCCGTAGTGTGGATTTTAATCTCCATGAAGTAGGAGGGTTCCTTGTTGTCTTTTCATGATTTATTTCTAATTTAATGCCTTTATGATCAGAGAAGATAGTTGGAATGATTTTGATCTTAATGTATCTGTTGTTTGTCTTGTGGCCCAGTGATCGATTCTGGAGAATGATCGATAAGCACTTGAGAAAAATGTGTACTTGGATTTTTTTTTGGGGGGTGCAGTGTCCTAGAGATGTCTGTTAAGTCCATGAGTTCTATGTCTTTATTTAGGGCTCTAGTGTCTTTGTTTATTGTCTTGTTGATCTGTCCATTGGTGAGAGTAGGGTGTTGAAGTCTCCCACTATATATGTATTTTCTTTAATGTCTGTTTTCAGAGCTGATAATAATTGTCTGATATATTTTGGTGCCCCTTCATTTGGTGAGTATATGTTGATGAGTATTATATCTTCCTGATATATTGTCCCTTTGATCATAATGTAGTGTCCGTCTATGTCTCTTTTTACCTTTTTTAATTTCAAGTCTTTTTCATCTGATATAAGTATAGCTGTTCCTGCCTTTTTTTTTTTTTTTTTTTTTTTGGTCCATTTGCTTGTAGGATTGTTTTCCAACCTTTTACTTTCAGTCTTTGTTTATCTTTTGCAGTTAAATGTGTTTCCTGGAGACAGCAGAAGGTTGGATTTTGTTTTTTAATCCAGCCTGCTACTCTGTGTCTTTTTTTTTTTTTGAGAAGATGAATCCATTTGCGTTTAGAGTTAATATTGATATGCTGACATCTGTATTTGCCATTTTCTTTGTCTTCTTTGTGATTTTATTCCTCACTTTATTCTGTTTTTTTTTTTTCATTTCTCTATTGGTTTTGGCTTTAGGACTTGTAGAATTTTTTGGAGTGGGGGTTTAGTTGTATTGAATTTCTGGAGTTTCTGTCTGAAGGTTTGTATTTTTTCTTCAAAGAGGAAGGAGAACTTTGCAGGGTAAAGTATTCTTGGTTGGCATTTGCTGTCTTGAAGTTCCTTGAATATGTTACTCCATTCTCTTCTTGCCCATAGTGTTTCTTCAGAGAAGTCTGAAGCTAACTTAATTGATTTTTCCTTATAAGTTATCTGTTTCTTCCCCCTTGCCAGTTTTATTATGTTTTCCTTGTTTTGGAGTCTTACAAGCTTTACTATTATGTTTTGCTGTAGTTTTGTTTTCATTGTGGTAATTGGGTGTTGTTCTTGCTCCTTGTTTGTCTATATTTGTCTTCTTTTTCATGTTTGGGAAGTTTTTTTCAATTACTTCCTTGAATAATTTCTCAGTTCCTTTGTCTCCTCACCTTCTGGATGCCTGTTACGCTTACATTTCCTGTCTTCTGGGAGTCTGATAATTGTCAAAGAGTGTCCTCATTCTTATTCCTTTGTACTTCTCTCGCCTTTTCTCTTTCGGTTCTTTTTACTTCTGTATCTGAGAATACTGATCTGTTCTTCCATTTTTTTCAATTCTGTTTTCAGTGCTGTTCCCAGAGCTCTTTGTCTCTCCAGTAATCTTTTAGTCTCCTCCTTTTCTTTTACTTCCTTTCTTAAGGTCTCATTTTTGTTCTTCAGTTCATTGATTATTTTTTTCATATCATCTTTTCCTTTTCTTTATTCCTTTTTTTTCCCTGTAATGAGCATTTTGATCATTGACTTCTCAGGTAAAACTTCCTACAGTAGCAAGTCCATATATATATATTTTTTAACTTTTATTTATTTGTTTTTTAAAGGATAGCAAAAGATTTATTTACAAGGGAAAGGCAATGAAGAAATGTACCACTCAAGGAGAAAAGAGGGATAAATGTGTTCTACCCATTCCGCCGACCTGGAATCCCAAATGACCCACCAAGACCAAACCTGCCTGGCCAAGAGCATGACCCAAGCATGCCCGACCCCACTAACATGGCTGGTTTTTATTTACAAACAAATGGCTGCTTAACTCCGACCTTAGGTCCTTGCAACTTCCCTTTGGGGATCCTGGGATTTGTAGTTCCTGGTGTCTTGATGGAGTGGGGGTGGCATCCACAAAGCCTGTATGGAATTAGCTTCACTTTTTGCCATCATTAACCAAAACAAACACCCCACTGATTGGGAAGATAAATTCTTTATTCTTTTTAATCATGATGATTCTAAATTCTCTGACATTCAGAGATGTTCATCCATGTCATTGTTGAATTCTGGTGACTGATTTACTTTTTGTAGTATGTTCTCCCTTGCGGGCTTGCTTGGTTATTTATATTTTTCCTTCTCCCTGCTGTTTGCTTTCTAAGTAGTTCTATGTGTTGGGACATTGTGCCCTTGGTGTTAGCAGGCATCTCTTTGGAGTGCTCCTTCACTGGTGTTGGAAACTGTTTACCAGACTGAGACAAGCACTGGTAGGCCAAAACTCCACCAGGGTGTTGATGCTGTGGCTGTGTTGCTGGGTACTCTCTCTTACAGTTCTTTTCCTCTGTATTTACTCAGTTCCAGCAGGGAATCAGCTAGTTGGTGATCTTGCTGTGGTGACTAGGTGGCGCCAGAGACCTGTACTTGCTGACCTGTGCTTTTTCCTGTAGTTCTCTGAGAAATGGAGGAGGGTAGGGGAGCACCTCAACACAGGGGCTATTGCTCATGCTGGGTGCAATGTCTGCCCCGTATTCACCCAGTGCTGTGCCCATAGCTGTGTGGATCCCACACCTTGAATTCTGGACTCTAGTTCTCAATTCCAGGGGTCTCAGATCCCAAATGCTGGCTGTCACCCCGTGCAGTGCCCACTATTCTGGCATGTCCCATGCTCCGGATCCAGTGCCCAGTTCTCAGTTCCAGAATGGGGTCTTGCTCCATGCCTCATTTCCCTTCTTGCCCCCTTTTGCGTGGCCCACCCTCTCAGGGCCTGAGGGTAGTTTTGGAATCCCTGTCTTCCAACTATCAGGAAGTTGGTGATTTTTTTCTGATCACTAAGTGGCACCAGAGATCGTTCCTAGTATCCTTCCAGAACTGTGCTTTTTCCCCTGTGGGTCTCTGGAGAACAGAGTGGGGGGTGGCATGAAGTGCCTCAGTGGCATGGGGGTGCTGTGTCTGCCCTCTACCCTGCTGTCATGGGGATCCCACGCCCCAAATTTTGTGCCCCGGTTCTCAGTTCAGTGTCTGCAGAAATGGCGCCTTTCCACCCTGCTCCCATACCTGGATGCCTGGTTTTGATTACCCGGTGATGGTCATTCACCTCAGTGAAGGCTCCCACACATCTCCCCTTAATCCTAGGTTGCAGCCACAGGGACCTGGGCGGCCGCAATCTGCGTATGCTTTTCGAGCACATGCACTTTTCTGAACAAGCTTATCGGTTGGCCTTTGGCTATTTGCAGGTCTCTCCAAGGAATCTTTATCTTCCTCTAATGGCACCCAGAGCCATTTGCTCACCTCCATGGCGATTCCGGCATGGTTCTTCACGGTTCCCGGTCACAGGGTGCAGTGCCTGCGGTAGTTCCTTTCTACTCATTGTTGCGCTTGATCTCTATTTTGTTGTTTTTGTTTGTTGTTGTTTTTTCCTCCTTTCTGTTGGTTGAAGTGTGTTGGCTTTGTGAATGGGGTAGGGTAGCAGGGTTCTGATGTTTTCTTCTTGTCTGTCAGTTATTCTTAATAGCTACGTTTGACTTCTAATTGTAATTTTTAATATAAATAACAAGTGTAGGTCATTTTTTACTTCCTATTAAAAATTATCTGATAAAAGCATGTGTGGTTATTTGTTGGGATAACTCTGTTACAAAGTGAAGTTGCTGTGAAGATGTATTTGCTACCACTTAATTTTTTATTTAGAAAAACTTCAAACTTACAGAAAAGTTGAGAGTATAATGGACTGATACAAGAAACAACCATATACCCTTCATCTAGTTTTGCCAGTTTAAAACATTTTGTAACATTTGCTTTTTCTGTCTTTGTTTATATGAAAACATTTCCTTCTGGACCATTTGAAAGTAAATTGCAGATACATGACAATATACTCTTTAAAATGTCAAAGCTGAAATACCTTTTTTTTTAAAGAGTGCCTTATAGTTTGTTGGTTGATCTTAGTCACCTATATAGTAGTTATCTAGGTGGGGCTGGTTAATTTACACTGTTACCAAATGAAATTTAAGTTTTTATTGTATCTGTTCATGAAACCGTTTCAACTTTTTTCCTAGTGACTCCAATGGGATCAGGTAGCAATCGACCTCAGGAAATAGAAATTGGAGAATCCGGCTTTGCTCTGTTATTCCCTCAAATCGAAGGAATAAAAATACAGCCCTTTCATTTTATTAAGGATCCAAAGAACTTAACATTAGAAAGGCATCGACTTACTGAAGTAGGTAAGTTATTACTATTTACCATTAGTAGCCCACGTTTGTTAACTGATTTTGTTTGTGCCTTTGAGAGAGTCTGAATTAAATATAGATGTTGCTGAAGATGTGTGTAATTCAGGCTAGTAATTAACAGAGAGGAGAGCTTTTTTAAGTGAAACCATCTGATATTTATCTTTTTCCTTTTGACTCACTTCCGCTTAGAATAATCCCTTCTAGCTCCATCCTTGTTACTGTAAATAGCATTAGTTTGTCTTTTTTGATCATTGAGTAGTATTCCATTATGTGTATATGCCACATTTTCTTGATTTACTTTTCTGTTCTGGGGCATTTAGGTTGTTTCCATATCTTGGCTATTGTAAATAGTGCTACAGTAAACATAGGCGTAAACACAGGTGTGCAGGTTTCCTTTCAAATTAGTATTTTTGTGTTCTTTGAGTAGATATGTAGGAGTGGAAATGCTGAGTCTAGTAAATCCATTTTCAGATTTTTGAGAAGTCTCTGCACTTCTTTCCGTAGGGGCTGGACCACGCTCACCAACATTGTACTAGGGTTCCTTTTTCTCCACTTGTTGTAATATTGAATTTTGAAAGACTTATTTCTCTTTAAATATTTTCTTATTATTTTGTCATATTTTTGCTTTTGAAGCTAAATGGTTTTTTTGAACTTTTTTATATCAGTAATAAACACTTAGTGGTAATAAGCCTTTTAAAAATATATTAGAAGGTATGAATTACCTTTTATGTCAGCTAAGTAGAAAGATGGGAATAAATCCATCATAAGTTGAAAATGCTTGAACTTACCAGGTGCCATAGCTTAGCCTCACCTACCTCATATATGCTCAGAACACTGCCATTAGCCTGTTGTTGGCAAAATCGTCTAACACAAAGCTTATTTTATAAAGTCTTAACTGTCTCATAATTTATTGAAAGTGAAAAACAAAATGCCCTAATTTGCAATTTAAAGTACAATTTCTACTGAATGCATATGGCTCTCATGTCATTTCAAAGCTAAGCAATCCTGAGTTGAACCACTGTCAGTTGGAATTGTCTTTAATTATAACCAAGTGAAAAGGTGGGTTGTACCAACAGAGAGGTGTGGAAAGACTGCTGTGTGGGGCTCGCCAGTGGGAGGAGAGCAGACAGGCCTCCTGGAGTAAGCAGTGTTTAAGCCTTTGAAGGATGGGAGTATCTAAGTGACAAGGGTGAGTCAAGGATCAGGCTAAGGCTTGCCAGAAAGAGTGGAATAGCCAGATAATCAATGCATACAGAGACACAGTAAGCTGTTTCATTTTGCAAACACAAAGTATATGAAGGGGATTGTGGGAATGAGACTATAGAGTGTAGGTACTACTGACAGCTGCTGTTTAGCTGATAGTGAATACACACACACACACACACACACAGTGAGGAGATATTGAAAGTGGGAAACCAGTTAGGAGCCACAGCCACCTAGGCAAGAAATAATATGGGGCCATGAGGAGTAAGGAATTGATTGAAGAAAATTAATAAATAATTAGCTGTGCACAAGAAGGAAGACTGGGGCCTCTGTGAGAACTAAGTTTTGAGCCTAGGAGAGTGGGACTATGGGGGTATGAAATGCAAAAATACGGGGCACACTGGGAAGGAGGAGCAGGTTGGGAAAAAGCAAACCTCATTAGAGAAACCTTTTTTTTTTTGGTTGGCTTTTGAGTCAGTGTTTCGCTGAAGGTCACAGAGCCACTCCTCCCCCCCTCCTGTGTGCTGTCTCTTATCCCAAGGAGAGGATGGTGCCAATGGCGGGCTCTCTCCTCTGCTCCACAGCACCTTGGCAATCGCATTGAGTGTCCTGCTGGAAGCTAGCATCTAGTTACTGGATTTGTTATCCCTTATTTGCATTATAGCACCAAGTTCAAGGAATCAGAAAATGAAGAGTAAAGCGCCCCTGTTTATTGTGCTCTATGAAGTGTTCTTACTCGATCCTTTCCTGCACTGTTTGCCATCTACAGTTTTGGTTTATTTTCATCCTGTTTATGGCCTTTAGGAAATTGATGCTTTGCCCAGATTGAGATGATAATCTCTATTCTTTAACATGCTGTTTTGTTTCCCTGTTTCCCATATTTCTAAGTTTGGATCATTATCTTCTCTGTACTCAAATACGTGGAGGGATCTGAAGTGGGCCAGAAGGAATAGTTGGAGGCTATTTTACCTCACCTGCATTCCCAAGCAGAGGTCTGCAGCAGCTCCTTTCTATGTCAGTGACACTGGGTAGTCCTGTTCATGTCTGTGTCCCTTAGGGGCCATGCACATTTGCTGTACAGGGTCAGCAAGTAAGTGGTTTAGTGTTTGCCAGCCATACTTCCTAACTCCATCTGTTGAACTCTGCTGCTAGAGCAGAAGCAGCCGTAGTCACTATGAGAACAAATGGTGGGTTCCAATAAAACTATCTATAAAAACAGTTGGCCCATGGACTGTCGTGTTTTCCCCTTCCTGTGAGCTTATCACAGTGACTAGAAGCCATGTAGGGAAGCCCACGGCAGCCCTGGAATGGCACGCTTCTCTGAAATGCACCTTGCATTTGGCTGTTGTAGCAGTGCTGATGCCAGGCGTGTAAGCTATAGAAATGTTAGAGACTCACTGTGCCTGCCTCCTAGAGGAGCCAGTCTAATGGGACAGGCTCACGTGAGATGAGTGTTACCAAGAGAAACACAAATGTGCTAGAAAACATAGAACCATGGACTTAATCTGGTCCAGAGTGTGCAGAAGGTACGCAGGTGAACAGAGCCTGAGAAGAGGTGAACTGGGATAGGGAGACCCTGAGGTGTGGGCTGGGGAGGAATACTGCAGTCTTCCCCCTTTGTCCAGTTAACTGACACAAGACAGAGGGAGGTAGCAGAAAGCAGGATCTGACAAAGGATAGGCCTTTTAGAACTACCCTTCTGACCGTGGTGTGGTGATCAGTTTCCAGGAAGGCAAGACTGGACACAGGAAAACTGGGAGGCTGCAACATGACTAAGGCGTGAATGGGGTGGGTCCAGTGGAGCTGAGAGACAGGTGAACGTGAAGCTTCAAGGTCGAATTAACAGGATGTGGCAGCTGGTTAAAATACAGGATGTTTAGAGTGAGGGAGGTGGTTACCACATTAATCAGGCTCTGGCAGCCACCCGGTCCTTTCTCCTGGGGTGAGGACAGTTGAGGGCACAGTTTAGAGGAATCAGTCAGTTCTAGTGTGGACACATGGAGTATGAAATGGGGACATTGACCAGACACTTGAATATATGGATCTGGAGCTAAAGAGGATAGGCTGCACCAGAGATGTTTGGGGATCATCAAGGAATTAATAGTAATTGATGACAATGTTGTTATCTTGCTGTTCTTTGTGGCAGGTGTCACGGAGCTACTGAACAGTTCTTAAACCTCAAACCATGACTGTTCTGGGTCTGTTCCCAGCTCATGTGGGCTTCCCTTTGTACATCAGGGAGAGTTTGGATAAGGTGCCTGTCAAAAGATGTAACAACTAGATAAAAACCAGAGTAGCACAGGTGACCCCGGATTTGATCTCTTTTCTCTAAACTTGGTGGTGTTTGAATCAAAGGAAAATGTTGTCTTAAGCTTCCTCATTTCATTAGTAGGTTAAACAGATGTAAATTTTGGTTGGGCCTGCAACTTGGCCAAAATGTGTTCTGTTAACTCTCCTCCACCGTGCCGTTGCTGAGTGCCGGCACCGAAATGAGATGCTTTATAATACTGTCATTTATTCATCACCACCACCTGCTCTTCCGGGCTTTCAAAGGCAGCCTGAACTTGGAGAATTTAAGTGACAGCTGTACAACAGCAGGTGGATGAACCCAAGTTTCAACCTAGGTCTGACTCCAACACCATGTCCTACTTGTGCTGACTTAGCACTGGTAGGTTAAGAGAGCTGGGGGTAAAGACAGGAAGAGGGAAGCGGTGGTTAGCCTGAGGTTGTGGGACAGAACTTGGCTTTGTGGGACAGATACATGATTTGTGCATGTATCAGCCTCTCGTGTTAGACGCTTCCTTTTCTCTCCATTTGGATTATATAACTTTCAAGTAGGTTGTGAAACGATTGTCTTCATAGTGGCTTCTCTAAAAAGATAGAAGCCTGAACCGGTAGACCTAAAGTCTTCTCATGCCATGCTGCCCTGTCCTCAGAGTTCGCTTTTCTAACTCTTGACACTGGTCTTGGTGTCTAAGTTTTATTTTTATTTTTTTCTTTTATCACTCAGCTTGATCAGTGCTGTAGTGAATTTTCATTTACTTGAAAATGAGTTTAAGGCAGCTTACAAAGATGAGAGAGTATCAGTGGAAGAACTTTGAATTGAGAGATACATAGATGGGATGCAGGCGGCTGGGGTCTGAGGGTACTAAACGAAAAGCATCCCATTGACATTCGCTAGAGGTGATCCACAGGTTTGGCTAAGTTGGAACCGAAGCAGCACACTCTTCCCAGTTTTCTGAGAGCTGAGATAAATTCTGTTGGAACCCCAATGCCTTTACAGTTAATAGAGTAATTTTTTCAGGCTATTTGGTGTTATTGCAGTCTATGAAGTGCCAGTGCCATCATCCCAAATGAGTCTCAAGAAAAGCAGTTGTTGGGATCCAAGTCAGGGAGAACTGGTTACTAACCTCTCTGCTTAATCTGAGAATATGCGGTCACCAAAGAAGTGGGTGCTTGAGGCACATGGCTGAACCTTGGATCTGTCAGCAGGGTTTGAAATAACGGCAAAGTAGATCACAGCTTCTCATGGTTGTCATCTGCCGGCGCACTGCTGGGATGTGACTAGTGTGCTCTCTTGAAGTTGAAAGACCCGAATACTTGTCCACAACGATAGATTGAGGAGAGCCTGAATGCAGTGCCTAGACTCCCCTCAGAAAGAGCAGGGGTGTTCTTAATACCCTGTGGGAAGGAGTTTGACTCGTTCTTTCCTTCAGTGACCTTTTTCGGACTCCAGAGAGGCTGTTGGCTAAATGCAGATCCATCTGCTCTATCAGGCAGCAGCTTGGGCTCGGATAGCGTTATTCTCTAAGTTGGAATGGGGAAAATTATTGTAGATTCTAGGTGTGTGTGTGATTCCCAGTAGGTGTGCGTGTGATTCCTCCCACTGGAGGAACATGTTGAAAGCACTGGATGTGCTTTGGTATATGAACGGGGTGGAGCCTTTAAAATTATTCAGATGAATTACAAATTCATTATAAGGGCTGATCTAGAGCTTAGAAAATAGAAAAGGTGGAGATTTAGAAGTCTTTAGGTTTCTAAAACCTGAGAGTCAGGAGATAAGGGTTTTTAATCTAGAGTTTTGACATGGTACTCGCCTGGACTAGTCACTTTTCTGGGATTAGCAGTCCTTATTTGTAAAGTAAGGCTAGACTGTTGAGCCCAAACTCAGAAAATTAATTCTAACAAAGAAAACCATGTCTTAAAATTCGCTGAACTGATCTTTTTTTGGGGGGAGGAAAGAAAACAACACTTTTAATAATGGTTTAGAGTATGATATGAAAGTACGGGATTTGTATACTCATGGCCTTTTAAAACTTCCCAAATCAGTGATTCACTTTGTAGAGAATACAAAATAGAGTATTCTCTCAGGATGTCACTATCTGGTGTTAGCCACTGATCACTCATTCCCATCCCTGTCCCAAGGTGAGCCTTATTTCTGTTAACCTTCACTTCAGGTTTATCAGTGTGGGAGTCGTGTGGCCCAATCAGTTGTAATGCTGGCAAAAATCTCAAATTGATAGTCTGCCAATAGGGTGCCGGAAGCACAGGTGACGGGGGCATTGCTGGGGCCACTGTCTCCTGTTAAACTCTGCCAACTCCTATTGCTGTGCTTTCTGTCCACATGCCTAGAGTTGCTCGTGCTTTGAAATGAATTTCCGTATAGTAAATTCACCTTCACCCTCTACATGGAAAAGGTGGATGAGGCCTATAGTGGCTCATTAGTTTCCTGAGAGTGCCATCATCACAGACTTGGTGGCTGAAACATTTGACATTTATTCTGCCACAGGTCAGACAGGACAGCACTCCTTGAGACTCCAGTGGTGAATCTATTCTTTGTCTTCTCAGCTTCTGGTTGTTGTCAACATCGCATTTGGTTGCATTATGTCTCTGTGCCACACGTGTTATGTGGAGATTTTTCATGGTATTTAGGACCAACCTAGACATTCCAGGTGATCTCATCTCAAGAGCCTCAACTTTTACATCTACAAAGACCCTTTTTCCAGATTAGGTCACCTTATTGGTTCTGGTGTAGATAGAGTTTAGGGGGGTTATCATTCAACGCACTATGATGGCTTAGTCCCTTTTCTGTTTTCTCTGGCTCTTTAAATTTCCACTGCTGTAAACCAGTGCTCCCTTTTGTTCCAGTTGGTGGCCTGTGTGGACATGGCTGGCACCAAGGTCCACCAATGGTGCTACTCACTTACATAGCTGCCTCTTTATTTGTGTTATATTGTCTTATTAATTTCTAAACAACCATTTGATTTTTTTTTTTTATGAGGAAAAATTGTTGTAAAGATTTTGAATGGTATTAAAGATTTAAAGGGAAAACTTATAGCTTAAGCACTAAATTGTATTTAATTAGGATTGCAAGTGATTAGCAATAAAATTTTCATTTTGCAGGCTGTATAAAAACACTTTTTAATTAGATTTTAAAAATCTGTTTTACGACTAACTTTAATTCTTGCTATTCATTTCTTTGCAGGTCTTTTAGATAACCCTGAGCTTCGTGTGGTCCTTGTTTTTGGCTATAATTGCTGTAGGGTAGGAGCCAGCAATTACCTGCAGCGCGTAGTCAGCACATTCAGTGATATGAATGTCATCTTGGCTGGAGGCCAGGTGGACAACTTGGCATCGCTGACCTCTGAAAAGTATGTCTAATGTACTTCAGACTTCTGTGCATGATGGGAAATGTTCTCAAGTTTTAGTTACTCTGGGTCTTTATTAAAGAATTGCTAAGCTGACAGTTCATTTAATTTTTCAATAGACACAGGCTGAGAGGCTTACTCAATGTAATTCTACTTGAAGTTGAGTAGTGAAATTCATATAAGAACTTATTCTTAGTTGGACCCAACACTCTTAAAACTTCAACATTGTCTCCTCTTATCTACAGTAACTACAGAGCTCCCTTGACAGCTCTGGGCTCTTTGTAACCATAATGTCTCTAATTCTCTCTCCTCCTCTAAAGGAAATGTATGGTTAAACAGTGAATCTTTGCGGTAAAATGTCTCAGAACCTCTAATTTACTAAGTGAGATGGAAATCGAGAGAGGAAATACTGTTATTATCTGTGGTAGTTCAAAGTCCAATTATCCACAAAACCTTTTCTCTTTGGAGTATCTTGCAGGCCTATTGGAATTACTTGACAAACATTTTGGGCTTTTTCAAGCTTAGAAATTGCAAGTTTTTGATTTTTGCTACTGAGGCTTATGCTTTCATGGATAAAAATATTGTCTTCTACTCCCTTTCCATTTTGTTTTAAAGATTTATTTATTTATGCACACAAGATCTGGGGTATAGGCCAGAGGTGTGGGGCGGTGAGAGGATTCACCAGAGACAGAGTAGGGAGCAGAACAGGCAGACTGACCGAAGTATACTGCTGAGGGGAGCAGCGGGTGAGTCAGGAGAGGTCTGCTGCGCCATGTAAGTTGCTCCCAGCTGGGGATCAAACTCATGCTGCAGATGCTGCAGATAGCTTCATAGGTTGTGTCTTTTTTTTTTTTTGTTAAGCCATTTAATTCGATAACAACAAGGCATGTTCTCTAAACTCTCAAGAGGTTTTTTTTTTTTTTAAATAATAAATTTTATTTTTATATTCCCCATACATTTGCAACCCCCCCCATTCTGATCCCAATCCCTCCCCTCCCACCCCCCACCCCCCCAAAGGTGTCTCTGTTTCATAGTTTTTTGTTGATTCTGATTTTCACTTTCTTATAGTTATTCATTTTCCTGGTCCCTTATTTAAGTTTTCTAGATTCCTGCTATGAGTGAAACCATCCGGTATTTTTCTTTTTCTTTTTGGCTTATTTCGCTGAGCATGATCCCTTCCAGCTCCATCCATGTTGCTGCAAATTGCATGTGTTTATCTTTTTTGAATGCTGAGTAATATTCCATGGTGTATATGGACCACATCTTCTTGATCCAGTCATCTATTTTTGGGCATTTGGGTTGTTTCCAAAGCTTAGCTATTGTAAACAGTGCTGCTATAAACATAGGGGTGCAGGTGTTCTTTGGGATTGATGTTTCTGTGTCCTTTGGGTAAGGAGTGGAATTGCTGGATCATATGGAAGCTCTATGTTTAGTAGGTCCAGAAATCTCCACACAGCTCTCCATAGTGGTTGGACCAGTTTGCACTCCCACCACATAGGTTGTGTCTTAACCTCTTGCGCCACCAGAGAGGCCCATCCCTTTACATTTTGATTGAAAATAACAGTATTTTGAGCTTAAGCTAATTAAGTAGTATAAATATCATTTGGTATAAAGTATCAATAGCATAAGTAGAGATTATCAGAAGCAGGAAAATGTGAATACCCTCGTCTCCCTTCTCTCCTACTCCCCAGATACTTCCTGCAAACACTTACTTGTTTAGTGTTTGGATCCAGCAAGAAGTATCTGCAAAACCATTGTTAAGTCACCCCGGTTTTGATCTCCTGCCAGGTAGTCTCCCTAATGGACCAGGGATAGTAGATTGCCAAAGTCAAGATCCCCGGACTACCAATGGGGGAAAGAAAGCCAAGTGCATTCAATTTAAAGCAATAAGATATCCAACATTGGATTTCGTGCATATATACACCAGTTCTTGATAGTTATTTATGTTATTTCCCCACTTGTACAATTTTCCCTCTTTACCTTTAAATTATACATAAAAATAGCACAGTAGTGCTTTTTTTAATATATAACTTAACTCTGAAATGCCAATGTCTTTCTCAGACATAAAACATCTGGGGTGCTAGCCTGTTGGCATATCATTTAATTTTTATTATACCCAAATACACTCCCACTCATTTTTCCTTAGAGGACACATTCATCTTAATCTGTCATTGGGTAAGAAAAGCCAGTGAGTAAATCAGTGCTCCATTTTAATCATGTTCAGATTACTACACACACACACACCCCGAAAAAAAAAAAGAATAAAAAATTGATTCAGTTAAGAGATTGACATGCTGCAGTTGTCCACCAGAGAGGAAATAAAGGAACAGCAGGGCACTTAAGAAAATGGATTCTGCCCCTAAAAAACCAGTTTTGCCACCAACAAGTCTCATCTCAGTCACTCTACTTAAGTCTTTTCACCCCAATATAATCTTAGATTAGCTAAATGTAAGTTACTTATTTGTCTCTCCCTTACCACCCCATGGGTGTCACTGATTTAGCTTTATAACTGTATTGATACTGAATATATATTTTTAGTAAGGATAAAATATTTTAAAATAAAAATAGGCAAATACAAATGAAAAGAAAATGTGTTTTTACCTGCACATAAATTGAATTCTCGGATCAAAGGATTAAATAAGACATGGAGCAATGTAATCAGTCACATTTCCATATGGAGCAAACAACATAAAGCTAAAACTTCTGGAATTATAGATTCTTAGTAAAACTATCCTCTGTGATTGAATTTTAATACACCTTTTAAAGAATTTGACAGCTGGAGTCGGGGTGAGATACAAAGATAGTATACTAGAAAATGTACTAAAAAGTTTCATTTAATAGAGACAATCATGTGTGTGAATAAAATTGTAAGGTTTCTCTTAAGGGAGTGATAAAGGTAATGATACTCTGTTTTGAAAACCCATGCTGGATTTTACAAATCTTTGTCGAGATGCATTTGCTGCTTTGTGTTTGTGACTGAACAGATAGTTGCTTACTTTGCCATAGATTTCTGCCTTCTACATTACTTAAATGTACTAATTTTCAGTAGTTTAATTTTTAATCTTTGTTATGATCCTCTTGTTGGGGAGAGTGAGCCTTAGACTAGCTGCACGCTGCTAAGGTAAGCTGCTCCCAACCAGTGAGTCAGAGGATTTCTGTCTTCTCTTACACTGTGAAATACACTGCCTCCTTTTTAGTTTCTAACTGAATTTTACAGGACCCCTCTGGATATTGATGCCACTGGTGTGGTTGGACTGTCATTTAGTGGGCACCGAATCCAGAGCGCCACTGTGCTTCTCAACGAGGACGTCAATGATGAGAAGACTGCCGAGGCTGCCGTGCAGCGCCTGAAAGCAGCCAACATTCCAGAGCACAACACCATCGGCTTCATGTTCGCATGTGTTGGCAGGGGCTTCCAGTATTACAGAGCCAAGAGGAATGTAGAGGCTGATGCATTTAGAAAGTTTTTTCCTAGTGTTCCTTTATTTGGCTTCTTTGGAAATGGAGAGATTGGATGTGATCGCATAGTCACTGGGAACTTCACACTGAAGAAATGTAATGAGGTGAAGGATGATGATCTCTTTCATAGCTATACCACAATAATGGCACTCATTCACCTCGGGTCACCCAAATAGAGCCACCTGTAAAAGGGCTTTCACATATGTAATTTGGGGGACTCTACATTTTCCAGAAAATGGAAAACTGGGATGTGTGTATTTCAAACAAAAGTAATTTTTTATGTATCTGTTTTGTAGCTTTGACACTCTAAAGATTTATGTTGAGATTGTTTTTTTAATATATGAGATGAAGGACAACTTTGTAATGTAAGGTTATACAGACCCAGAGTTGAGCTCTTGTATCAGGCACAGCAGCCTGGTTATGGCTGTCGCACCAGATGTCGCTGCTAGGGACAGGGCTTGCCGTGTCCTCTCCACAGGGGGCTGAGGAGGGCTCGTGTGTAGGCTGGAGACTGAGACAGACATTCCATGACTACCTCTGAATTGTTGGGTGATTTTTTTAGCAGAATCATGTAGACATGTTTTTCTCCCTTAGTAAAGGAGAGAAGTAGGCAATGGTATCATTCTCGGCTTTACAGTTTTACCAGTTTTTTAGAAACTAACAAATGTATTGACTTTTTACTTACTTGGTAAAAATTAAAGGACTATTTTTGTTTTAGTACTCTAAAGTTGCATAGTCAAATAAATTGCCAAGGCTAATTAGTATTTTATCACTTTACAAGGAAAGAAAATTTCCTTTTCCCTCAATAAAAAATTGTTAAAAGGAAATATTTTTTCCACCTTGTTCTATGTGGTAAATTGGCAGACCAAACAACTATATCACCTTATTTTGGTTTTGATACCAATAAAGTATACATCAGAAATTCAATTCAGATAATGTTTTGTATTTCATTGCTTTTGGTGAGTGAATAAAGGAAATAAAGTAATTATTCAGAAACCAGACTAGCAGGTATTTATCAGTTACTACATTCTGGCTTATTCTCAGGAGAATGACTTTCATGTTCAGGTTTCTAATTATGCAGATATTTAAATGAGATTTTTTCAGAGAGTACTGACATCTTGCCTTTTCATATAATGAGAGAACTTTTGATATTTATCCAGGAATATGTCTCCCAGAACAAAGACCACATTCCCACTCTCCCTTGCAAATCACTTACCTTCTGCCCAGTGAAATGTAAGGGGAAGTACATGGTGTTCAAAATAGTGTGAATGGTTTTTCCCTCTTTCTTGACACCATTGCAGAGAACAGGCCACAAAGCCCACTTGAACTCTACATAAGAGCCAGCACCCCATCATGGAAGGAGATTGCAACAGAAGAGCCTGGGTATTTACACTCTTGGTGAAATGCTGCCATAATTAGCCTGAAATACTTACCTCCCTCCACAGGATCTTACCAGACAGAAGTGTTAATTTCTGTCTTGCCTAAGCCGCATACCCCAACCCTCACCCCTTGTTACAGTTCGTGTTAGCATATGCTGCTAATACAGTATAACTAATAAATGGTATTTTTTTGTAATGGTCAGTGCTTGTAACAGGACAATAGAAAACTTGTAAGACAAGTAAAGTATTAACATTCCTGTTTTTCTATTTTTATGACTTTTTTTCCATTTACCATAAAAAAATTTTTCTCTTGCAATTTATAAAATCATTTTTTATGGTTATTCTGTATCTTACAAATTCCAAACAAAAGTTTGTCATAGAACTTTAAATATTTAGACATTTCTATTTAGCTATTAATTTTTCTGTTACCAAGTAGATAATACCTCAAAAATTGAATTCTTGGATATGCTTACATAGCATCAAAGGAATATTTCATAAATTTTCTTTGTCCCTGATGTTATCCAGAGTTGTGTGAATAGCAGAGAAAAGGGATTTTTGAAAATGAAAGTAGGAACAAAAGAAACCTGAAGTTCAAAGGATTATTTTATTTTTTTCAAGTGAAGACCCTCTTTCCAAAGGAGTCTGCTACTGGGCCATTTCACAAAATATTGGAGAAAAACAAGGGGGTTCTTAGAGGTCAATCTTCAGGGTTGTTAGGAACAATGAATTTATTTAGCTGTAAGGGTTGGTGCAGATTATAAAGGGGAGAAGAGGCTCAGTAAAGGAAATCTTGGGTATAAGACCAGTAATAAACACATTGTGCACAGTTACGGAATCTACACTGACCTATACTAATGAAGGGGAATCCAGTAGTCCCCTTGCAAAGATCTCTCAACTTTGCTTAAACCTGGATCGTTGGCAAATATATCAGCTTCTTCACCTAGTAAGAGAAGCCATACAGCAAGTTTTGCCACTGATTTATAATGCATATTTATCAAGTAAACACAAAAAGTTAAATGTCCAAATCCACAAAAACTTTCAAGGAAAAAACCTTTTATAAACACTGCACACACATAGTATAACCTAGATTAGTGTTACCATAAATTTTCATAAAACTCCAAATCCTCTTGATTGGAAATTGTGAGATAACTGACGTGATTTTCATCTGTAGAAAGTCTGCTTAGTGAGCCCTAAAATAATAAAACAGTATGTATTAGTAATAACATCCTTGTTAAGCAAACAAAATTAACATCTATACTCTAAAGGGTGTTTTACCAGAAAGTTATTTTAATGTTGGCTTAATAGAATTAGATACTTGTAAAACATATTTTTGTTTTAGATGTTTCATTCCTATCCTATGCCACAATTAAGTTACAAGAATATATGTTACCGTAAAGGGGAAAACATTGGCAGAAGCAATGAGTTTTTGGGTACTAAGAGCAGATGGGGCATTTTCATTTCACAAATAGCTCATACAAGTTATTCTCCAGTACCTGTCACAACCAGCAAGAAGGTAAGACTGATAACTGCAAGAAATTGGAAGAAAATATACTGATAGATTTTAAATGCAAATGACCAGATTGAGAAATTTGAGACCAAATCTCACTAACCAAAGTTCTGTTACCATACATATATCTAAAACTTCTGTTTTGTCATGATACCAGGATTTCAGACAGAAATAAAACAGTTGACCTAAACGATGCCAGCAAAATGGTAGACTAGGATGCAACGATCTTTTGCTCCCCCATAGAAACATAAGAAAGAAGAAAAAAAGCAGGGGCCTCCCTGGTGGCCTATGGGTTAAGTCTCTGCTAGCATCACTGTGGCCTCAGTTGGATCCCTGGCCACACGGCGTAGGAGACCTCTCCTGTCTTGCCCAGCGTTCCCCTTAGTGTATTTCAGTAAAATTCACCTGTTCCTCTCCCTATTCTGTCTCTGGTGAATCCTCTCACCCTGCCCACGCACACACACACACCTCTGGCATGCACCCCAGTTCTATGTAAAAATAGAAAAAAAATTTTAAAGGCAATTGCCTGGACCACCATTGTTGGAATGCTAGGAAACAGTTTTATAGCATCCAAAATAATGCCCAGTAATGAAAAAGCATTTTTAAATGATGGGAAAGCTTTTGAACCTTTTACTCCATCTTGCTCTACCTCTCCCCAGCATGGTCAGTATTTTTTAGAGTAGCAGTCCCAGTTACTTCCCTCAAACCAGAAGAAGCTGAATAGGATTTAACTGCAATTTATTGTGTGTCTTTTCCAATCGTCTGGCTGATAGCTGAAGGACTTGGTTTTGCATAACTTGGAAATAAGACAGGAAAGGTGACAGACACTGCTTGTAAAAGCAAGGTGAGGGCCTCCCTGGTGGCGCAAGGAGTTGCGGCATGAGTTAGATTCCCAACTGGCCAGGGAGAAACCCACATGGCGAAGCAGACCTCTCCTGTCTCGTCCGCTGCTCCCCTCAGCAGTGTATTTTTTTTTTTTAATAGAGGCATGTTTTATTATTTATTTGTTTATTTGTTTATACATGCACTGGGTACAGTCAGAAGCGCGGGAGGGTGAGAGAATTCACCAGAGCCAGAGCGGGGAGCAGAGCAGGCAGAAGGACCGAAGTACACTGCTGAGGGGAGCAGCGGGCGGCAGGAGAGGTCTGCGCGCCATGTGGGACCCTCCTCTGGTGGCCGGGAGCAGCCGGGGATTGAACCAGAGCCGCAGAGGCCGCGGGCAGCTTGGCAACCCAGCGCTCAACCACTGCGCCACCGGGGAGGCCCTCAGCAGTGTATTTCAGTCCTTCTGCCTGTTCTGCTCCCCGCTCTGGCTCTGGTGAATTCTCTCACCCTCCTGCGCTTCTGACTGTACCCAGTGCTTGTATAAATAAATCTTTTTAAAAAGAAGTGTTAAAAGCACACAGACACACACACGTAAAACAAAAGGATATAAACAGTTAAATAAAAGTGTTACAGGGCCTCCCTGGTGGCGCAAGGGGTTAAGATGCAACCTAATAAAGCTGTCCTCATCCTCTGCATTGTGAGTTCGACCCCCGGCCAGGGAGCAACCCACATGGCGCCGCAGACCTCTCATGACTCACCTGCTGCTCCCCTCAGCAGTGTCTTTCAGTCAGTCTGCCTGTTCTGCTCCCCACTCTGTCTCTGGTGGATCCTCTCTCACACACACCCCTCCCCCGTATCTCTGGCCTGTACCCCAGCTCTTGTATGCATAAATAAATAATTCTTAAGAAAAAGTAGCAAAGTGACTACAGACTCAGTTACCTGAGGCAAGAAATTATGGATAGGCCACATATGACCCAGAAAAGCTGGGGTAAATCTCTTGGATTTGGACAATTAAAAGGAGCTGTTTACCAAGGGATCTAAGATGTCATATAATGCCCAAGCAACATACATGCCCAGGCAAAAATGCATGCTCAGAAAAGACCGAATACCTTAAGCTTTTACTTTGGTCTGAAACCTAGACTCAGCAAGCCTAGTACTGGAGGAATGCCCTAGCACTCAGCTAATCTGCAAGTCCAAGAACTCTGGCATTCAAGGAAATCTGTCAAAACAGCCAAACATAGATGAAAAGAATACAGGCGTCAATGATGCACTCCAGAGGTAGTCTTTGTAAAATTTGTTTGGAAAAGTCTGAAAATAAGTATACAACTTTCAGCAATAAAAACAAAAAACAAGGCCTATAAACCTGGTGATGAGGTTCATAGACAGAACTAATCATATCACAGTAATGATATACCCAATTTTCAAAAGAAAAAATCATAAGGTATACAAAGAAACAGAGAAAGCCTGTCCAAAAAATAAATAAATAGAAACTGGCTCTGAGCAGGGCACACATTGAATTTAATAGTGACACACTTTAAAATATGCTCAAATAAGTAATGCAAGTCAGGCAGAGGGACAAAAATTAGAATATCAACTATTTAAAAAAAAACAAATTCTGGACCCACAGAAGCACAGAAACATTTCTACTGGAGGAGTTTAATGGCACATTTGACCAGGAAAAAGCACAACTGAAGTTAGACTATATAACTTCAGGAGCAGAAGCAAAAGTAAATAGTCTTAAGAGATTTGTTAGACACCATCAAATAGAACAAGGAATGCATTGTGGGTGTGCCATAAGCACACAGAATCTCTATGAAAACTTCATAGAGATTACTTGAAATAATGGCCAAAAGCCAGCTTAGAATCAAGATATGAATGTACATATCAAGAAACTTAAATAGGGTACACTCAAAAGAGATACACACCAAGATACACCATCAAACTATCCAAAGCTAAAGAGAAACTTCAAAGCAGCAACAATGAAAAGGCTTATCATATTCAAGATCTTTACAATGATCAGATTTCTTATCAGAAACTTAGGAGACCATAGGCAATGGTTTGATATATTCAAAGTGTTCTTCAAAAACTCAACTAAATGACTAAATGACCTCCAAATATGAAGGAGAAATGAAAACTACCAGATAAAAGTTGGTGGAGATTTAGACCAGTGGACCTGCTCTCCAGGCAATGCTAACAGCAGTTCTTCAGGCTGGAATGAAAGGACAGCACACAGGAACTTGACACAGTATGAAGAAATAAAAGATTTTTAGTAAAGGTATACATGGGAAGTTATAAATGCTAGTATTATGACTTTGATGTTTATACTTGTAACTAATACATTTGTGTAGGTTTTCATATACATAACTGCTAAAAGATGTAATTTTGTGACCAGTAACTAAAAGGGGGTGAGAAAGAATTATATAAGAGCAAAGTTTTCATATGTTATTGAAATTTAAGTGGCATGAATTAAAATCAGTGTTACTACTCTAGGATGTTAAATACAATCCTCATGGCAACCACAAAGAAGGATCTACTCAAAAAAGAAGTGGAAAGAGGAATAAAATGCTTCACTACAAAAAGTCAACTAAACACAAAGATGATACTAACACAGAAAATGAGGAACAACCTCAGGAACATCTTTAAAGACTCAACACCAAAGCAGTGATAGTGAAGGCCAAGATAAACAGCTGGGACTACATCAAATTAAAGAGCTTCTGCACAGCAAAAGAGACAATAACAGAAACAAAGAGAAACCCCACCCACTGGGAGAACATTTTTGCACCCAACACTAATGATAAAGGACTGATCACAAAAATCTACAAAGAGCTGAAGAGACTCAACAAAAACAAAGTAAATAATCCAGTCAAAAAACGGGCAGAGCTAAAAAAACTTCTCTGAAGAAGAAATGGAAATGGCCAACAGGCTTATGTAAAAATGTTCAACATCACTTGTGATCAGAGAAATGCAAATCAAAACCACAATGAGAGGGCCTCCCCTGGTGGCACAGCGGTTGAGTGCTGAGCTGCAAAGCTGCCGGTTCGATACCCGGCCACCGGTGAGGGTCCCACATGGCACACAGACCTCTCCTGCCGCCCGCTGCTCCCCTCAGTGTGTATCACCCGTCTGCCTGTTCTGTTCCCCGCTCTGGCTCTGGTGAATTCTCTCACCCTCCCGCGCTTCTGACTGTACCCAGTGCTTGTATAAATAAATAAATATTTTTTTAAAATCTTAAAAAAAAAAAAACTACAATGAGATACCATCTTACACCAGTGAGAATGGCACATATTAAAAAAACTAGCAACAGGGCCTCCCCTGGTGGCCCAGCTGTTGAGCGCTGGGCTGTGATGCTGCCTGCAGCCTCTGCAGCACGGTTTGATCCCCGGCTGCCAGCGAGGGTCCCACAAGGCGCACAGACCTCTCCTGCCGCGCCCACTGCTCCCCTCTCAGCAGTGTATTTTTTTGTCAGTCTGCCTGTTCTGTTACCTGCTCTGGCTCTGGTGAATTCTCTCATCCTCCCGCACTTCTGACTGTACCCAGTGCTTGTATAAATAAATAAATAAATCTTAAAAAAAAAAAAAAACAAAAAAAAACCTAGCAACAACAAATGTTGGCGAGGATGTGGAGAAAAAGGAACTCTCCTGCATTGCTGGTGGGAGTGCAAGCTGGTCCAACCACTAGGGAGAGCTGTGTGGAGATTCCTCAATCTGCTAAAGATGGCGCTTCCATATGATCCAGCAATCCCACTCCTAGGTATTTACCCAAAGGACACAGAAACATTAATTCAAAAGCGCACCTGCACCCCCATGTTTACAGCAGCACTGTTTACAACAGGTAAGCTATGGAAACAGCCCAGATGCC